TATATAATTGGAAAAAAAACTTTACCTTGTACACATCGAGGCCAAGGTAATTGCCTTCCCATGATGTTTCTTCTCTGCGTTTTCCAACTGCCATCAGAGAAGCGACCACCAAATCGCCATCGTCATCAACTTTGATGTTATATTGTGGATTTTTATGAAAACCTATAGGGACCATAGACAGATTATCCATCTTAAGTTGTGAAATGTCAATCTCATAACATTCCCATTACTATTTTTTGATAACTGCTTGTAGTCTCTATTAAATACTTTAAATATCAAAAATAATATCAAATGTGTTTGACATAGCTGTAGCTAGTATGAAACGCTTTAAAAATCACAACTTGTGTTAACATAAACATTTTACTACTCGTTTATTTAATATTTGAAATATGTATGAATGACGTAATATTTTAATATGCATATCTTTGACATATTTTCTTTATTTGGAAAACGTTTGAAAAAGATTCAAGCACGTAAAGTCATCAGACAGAACATTCCTGTGCAAAAAGATAGGAAAACGGGGTAGAAGGAAAACATTAGAACATAAACAATGGCTTTTTCTGCTGATGTAGAAAAAATCATTAAATAATTCTTCATGTAATTAAGAGGGGTTCGATTGCACCCACTGGTCCCCTGGGTTCACCCTACCAGACGACGATAATTGAAAGAAAAAGTTATAAAATGTTAGTAATAGATAAATTATAATATTGTTAATGCTACTGTTATTATTTTAAAGTTATATTGTTGTACGTTTCAATAATTCTTGCCTTCCTTATTCTTTGTAAAGCATCCCATTGCGGTGGTCCCCTTCTGCCATTTATTGAAGTGTTCAGTCACGTTCCATGTTGCCTCCTTTCCTGATAGTTCGGGTGGAATATGGAGAACCTTCAGCACATTAAATCTTTTTAAGAAATCGTTGATGTCCATCCTGAAGTATACATAAATATGTGTAACGATGGTATGATGTTAGTCTACGCAGATTAATATACATAGTCAGGTCATGTAAAATTCCATTAGTACAGTACTTCATAGTGCCTAATTGAAAGATTCCTTGCTCTTATTTAAAACCAACATTGAAGATTTTTTTATTTTAAAATGCTAACCCTTCCAGCTAAGCCAAGGAGGTATTCAGAGCCCTCTTAAAAAATAAAAATACATGACAATTCAACACATACCAACAGATAAAGAATGCAAGAAAAGGTATAAAAGAAAATACAGACGGTTAAATTATTTATAACAGTCAACTTTCTAACCTAAATAATGATAGAATAAAGTTGGTACTGTAGCCCAGGTATTCTCGATTTTGCTCGCACTAAGTACACACATACATCCCCTACACCAACACACCCGCACTCCCACCCCCTACACACACGCACACCCACACACACACATACACACCTACATATTATACAAGTTAGAAAAGTTAATTATACAAGCATACATATAATTATTTCAACCAATTTTATTTCAAAATTTATAAAAGGTACATACAATTAAATACCATCACATTTGTAGGTTGCAAATGTTGTGTAATATATATTTATTATTATGCATGTGAAGCTTACCAAAAATCTCCGTCAATTTGACTAGTTATTCTAAACTCTTTCTTGACTTCTTCACTCAGAGACATCATTTCCTTTGACCTACAATGTAAAAAATAACATTATTTAATATCGAAGCAGCTAATAAATAATTTAGAAGAGAATTGTTTACTAAAAACTGAATTTCGGCCGACGTGTGTAATTAAAACTTACTGGTCACCCCAGGGTCCAGTCCATTCGCAGCGACCGGTGTTTAGGACACGGATTATATTCGATGGAGTCATCACACCATTGTTATCATACATAACCTGCAAAATAGTTTTACACACAAATTATTTTTAGTGTTTAATGGGAGTTAATGCAATAATATCATTAGTAGAATTTTCGAGTAGAAATAGAATCATATTTTTCTCGTTTGATGGCAGTATAGCTTTCAATGAATAATTATGATGGATATAGGTCTACAGTAAATAATGTTTTGCTAAAAAATTTATTGTTACATCGAAATTTATATAAATTGATGTTATATCTTATATACATGACTTTCTTTTGTGTGGTTTTGTATTCTATAAATAAAAGTGCCAGTTAAACTTATTATTATTACTTCCGTCAAGGAGGTTATGTATTCACGTCTGTCTGTCTGTTTGTCAGGCTGTCTTTCTGTCTGTTAGCAAGATTACGCATAAACTAATGAATCCATGGATCATTATAAAATTTAGTGAAATGGTACATAACAAAAAGGAAAGATACCATTAAGATTTCGAAAGAAAAGGTCAAAAGACAAGGTCAGGCTCACGAAAATTAGATTTTACCCTCGAGCATAAGAGAAAATAATTGAATCACCTCATATATTAAGGCAGCACTCAGGAAACCAAAGTACATTAATACGATTCCATTATTTTTTAGGGTATTCTGCAGCACTAAATAAAATAATGTGCCTGAATACGACTGACAATTCCATTAGTTTATTGAGGGTATGCTGCAGTTTCGCCCATTATACACGGCCTGCATATTGTTGGTAATGGAGTGGCTGTTCTAGTTAATAATGTGCCTGTGAGTGGCCGTACACCTGTGTATGTTGGGTGGGACCGCACATTATTATAATCACACAAACAATCTGTATTCTCAATATACTAAGTTGTATTTAGGTCCAAGTGTTTACCTTTCTAACACTTCCTGATATAATAAACAAGGAATCGTATTTATCAAGACCACATGCATCCGCAAGTCCCCTGGCTAAGGTTGCCGTCACAAGTGAACCTGTTTTTCGGAACATCTTCAACTTTGAACGAAGCCTGTCTTCTGTAAGTTCACCCAAGCGGATTGTTTCTACAGCACCTCCAGATAGGTCTAACAATGCTTCGGATACATCGTATGTACAGTCCATTGCTTCATACTTTGATAGAAGCCTAAAAATTAATAGAAACTCGTATGATTTACTAATTCGGATAATTTTCAAAATATATAAAATAATAAATACAAATGTTGATAGACACGTAAAGTTTCAGAGTGGACATCACATTCACACAGAAGTGAAAGAGAGAGGCCCAACAGACGATGTCGTGACTACTTCAGGGAATATAGCGTTAAGGACTGAAAACAGAGGGTACGGAATTATAGACTATACTGGGAAATTGATGGAAAGGTCTACGTCCAGCCGTGGAGGACCAAAACAGGCTGAAAAAGTAATACGTAGCATAGGCCTATATTGAAATTATTAGCACAAAGTATACAAAGACTTCTGAACCCTCCTCCCCACAGGGGTACTCTCTGGACCAGCTACAAAGGATAGCTCAAAACAGAGTGCGATGGCGTGCTATTTCTAATAACGTATGCTCCACAAGGAGTTGAAGGGAATAAGTCAAAAACTCCTGTATATATGATTCATCTTTAGGCCATTATTTTCTTCACCTAACTTGTAGACGTATATCTTTTTATGAACATGTACAATTGCAATGTTAACAAATTTTAGGAATGGAGAATTCAATTTTAATTCACATTCTGTTTGAAAATCTTAATACAGTTGTGTATTAAGCCGGGCACTCACTGTGTCGTACGACGGTCGAATCTACCTCCGCTCCCTGTGAGCGATAGACGTCGCAACGTCGTCTGCTGATTGTCGGTAGCAGCCTAGACAACTTTTTGCGCGCGCGCCGTGGCGTTGCGTTCTTCTTAGAGTCTCGTCGGCCGACGACCGTCGTGTGTAGTGATGTGCCCGGCTGTACACGATGGAAAAAGAACAGAACTTACTTTGCCAGTGCTTTTTCCATAAGGGAAACCCAAAATTCATCTTTGGACAGAGAGCGACTGAACAGAAGTTTTCCATCCAATGTTGGTAGTCGATCATCAATGACGACCTCGTTCCATTTACCAAATCTCCAGAATCGAAATCGAAAGATACCCTTGTAGTTCTCTGAGAACGATTGCTCAGGACAAACAAAATTCAATACTTTTGGAGCAAGTGTTATTGCAGCCAATGCGTTCATAAAGTTACTATTGACTGTAAATTAAACAAAAATTAACATACAATGTGATAAAATGTCTTAAATTTTCCGAGTAAGAACGTAAGAACTGCATATGTGTTTCATCTGTTGTACAATCTGCACAAGATGTTATAAAAAAAAAACCAAAAAACCAAAAAAACAAAACAAAACAAAAAACGTAAGAACTGTATTTTGCACAGAAATCACATGCATGCTATTAATAGGTGCAGTAAATATTATGGTAATAACTGTTTACAAAATTGCAGGCGACAGTACAAACCCGTTTGAATATTTTTATACATTGACCGTTCGACAGCCATACATAATAGTTAATACTAGCAGAAGGGTCCATATTAGGGTTGGCATAAGAATGTGTAGGAGTGCTAAAGTGAGGGTCACACAGCGGCGCCAGCGTCTGAAATCTGGGGAAGGGGAAAAGTGAGGGCAAGGTAAAATTTTAGGAGACCAATAATATGCTGGGGTGGCCTGAGGTGGGCGTGGTCGGGCGTCGTTCAAAATGGCCCGAGAGTGGTCCAGGGGGCGAAGTCCCCGAAAAATATGACAATTTAGGGGTCTCGGAGGCTTATTTAATCGATTTTATATTTAGATAAATATGCAGAAAATACATAACGTTTTTCTTCCCCGATGGTTTTTCTTCTTTTTATGGGTGGGGAGAAAACTGGAGAGGGGGGGGGGGGGGGG